AAAACTTTAATAACAAACTGGAAAAAGATTTATTGACATTTCGTTTTTATTTTTATGCGTGAGCTTGTGTCCAAACCCCTTATCCAAAAAAACTATTAAAGTTAAAAAAAAAGTTACTCGCGGGATTATGTTGCAGATACAATGAAGAAAATTAAGAGGGCACCATTGAAATTCGGACACACCCCTCAACAACTGGAGGGTCACTATAAAAAATTACTTCTAAGATTGCTCTCTTTTCAACCTGAACCAGTAAAAAAACAGTAAATCATTAAAAAAAGAACAGATTCAGAAAGGTATCATTAAACCTTTTTCTGAGTAACATTGAAGACGATATCGACGTTTTCCACCTGAAAATAGGTTATTTTAATTGTGGTATTCTTAGAAAGTTAATACATATTTTTTTTTAAATTTAAATAAAAACCTTTGAATGTAGATATTCCTTTTCGGTAAAAATTATGCTGTAAAAAAAGGATGAAATAAATGTTTAACTATCATAAAGAACTGATTGCCTATGCCGTCGTTAGAGCCAGATGAACCACAACAACAGCAGGACTGCTGATATCCACTTGAATATCCATATCCAGTATTTCCTAAACATATCATGATTCATGTTTGTTACCTTTATCCTGTATTATGTTTTCCTTTGCATTTTTTTCTCAAATGCTTTTCCTTCTTCTTTTTACTTTTTTCCCCTTTCCTTGACATTTTCATCTTCTTTGTATACTCCTCTCTAATATTTGGTTTATTATCTTTCTATCCCTTTCTTTTTCTCTTTAGTTTAAGAAACATTAAATTCATAATGCATTTAAGGTTCGTATCAACAATTTATATTTTCTCAGTATCTATAGTTTAGAAAAGGATCCTGCATTACTGTTAATTTTATTTCTTTATTTGTAAAACTATTCTAGAACTAAAGAATATGAAACTTATGTAGTTGTTCTAGTCAAAGAGAATATATTATACACAGAGTGGAATTTACTCTAAAAAGTTGTACTGTTTCCATACTGCAGGTGTGTTTCACACATTTGTGCTGTTTAACCTTTTGGGCCCTGGAACATAATTTTAAAGAAAAGTTTTCTGTTAGCCTGTTATGCATTCCCGAGTTCATATCAGCATAAGCTTAGATAAAAATCAATTTGATGTTTTTATTTAGTAAAAAAAATAATTGAAGTAATCAAACAGTAAAAACCAATATTTCTGAAATACTCAAGATACCAAAATATTAAAATTGAGGATGAGGAAGGTAAATGGTTATTAACTCTTTAATTTATAACATTTTTACGTCAGACTGTGACAGAAATGTTAAGTGACCCTCCATAATGTTTAAAATTTACAACGGCATCATTTGAACCTTTATCTGAGTAAACCTTTATTTGAGTAAACCTTTATCTGATTAAACCTTTATTTGAATAAACCTTTATCTGAGTAAACCTATATCTAAGTAAACCTTTATTTGAGTAAACCTTAATTTGAGTAAACCTTTATTTGAGTAAACCTTTATCTGAGTAAACCTTTATCTGAGTAAACCTTATCTGAGTAAACCTTTATCTGAGTAAACCTTATCTGAGTAAAAACTGGTAAATTCTGAAAATTTCGTTTTTTGTCTCTACTTCAGTCACGTATACACCAATATACAAAGAAATCAAAGTGTAAATAATAAATTTTTTAAAAGACTAAAAATGAATATTTTTTGTTCTCAGAAAGAGGTTTAAAGGGTACAAGCAAATATTTAAATAGAGCATCACTTAGAATTACGTCACCAGTCCATTTAAGTGTGTTGACCTGCATTCCCTGATCTGGAGAGGACGGATCCATATCCATAGTCAAACCCTCCACCCTGAGCAGAAACCTTTCCGGACTCATATCCTGATATACAAGACCTTTACAACTTTACTCTTATACAAATCAAATCAAATCAAATCAAATCAAATTAAATCAAATCAAATCAAATTAGATTAAATGAAATCAAGAAGCTAGGGTTTGTCCAGGAGCTCCCTAGTCTGTTTGTCATCACGTTACCCACCAAACCCAGTGTCCGAATTTAAGGAATTTAAGCCACGTCTCAAATACCCCAAAACCGGTTTTAATTGACCGCCGGTTTAAATCTTGAAAAATTTAATATAAATTTAAGTGGAACCAACCAAATTTGAACCGCGGCTCAAATTCTTTAAATTCGGCCTCAGAGGGTTTTAACTTGACGCAGGCAGAGCCTTTTGTATAGCTAAACAGTTTTAGGGCTAAGCAAAGTTCCGTTAACAAAAGGGAACATTAAAAAATTAACAGAAAAGTCCATTAACAAAACGGAATATTTAAAAAATTGACAGAAAAGTCCGCTAACGAAACGGAACATTAAAAAATTAACAGAAAAGTCCGTTAATGAAACGGAACATTAAAAAATGTACAGAAAAGTCCGTTAACGAAACGGAATATTTAAAAAATTAACAGAAAAGTCCGTTAATGAAACAGCACATTTAAAAATTTACAGAAAAGTTTTTTAACGGAACTGCACATTTGAAAAATTTATTAGAAAAAACGATACGGAAGATTTAAAAAATTAATAGAAAAGTCCGTTAACAAAACGGAACATTTAAAAAATTTACAGAAAAGTCCGTTAACGAAACGGAATATTTAAAAAAATAACAGAAAAGTTCGCTAATGAAACGGAACATTAAAAAATTAACAGAAAAAGGCCGTTAACGAACGGCAAAAACTGTTGATTTTAAAATCAATAACTTTGATCTAAAAGAAACCTAATTGAAAATGAATTCAAAGACATGTGTTGCGCACAATTAATTTCTTTTTAAATTAACGGTCTATAAACAGTGTACACGGGATAGAGTTAACATTACAGGTGCAAAAATATCTGGAAATCACTTTAGGAAAACTTAATTTCTTCATGTTGTAAAAACTTTCCTAGTCTTTTATCTGCATCCATCACTTATCAACTTGAAAAACAACCTAAATGTAAAACAAAACAAGAAAAAAAAGAGTTATCAATAGATATTAATGGTACGACATTGAGACCTTGTAACTTATCTAGTTTTGATTTTTCACACTAGTAGATGATAAGCAAATTAATGTAGTTTATGAAATATTTTTGTTCTTCCCAATTGCGCTTCAAAACTATATTATATTTTAATATAAAGCAAATGTACTTAAGTCTTTGCCACAAATTCAAATTTCCTATACCCAATAACTTTGCAACCTGATGTTGTAAACCTTTGATATTTCAAGCATAGACTATTTGATCCAACAGAATTCATAGTTTGAAATATCAAAGTCTACATATATCGGGTTGCAAAGATATAGGACATAGCTAATCAGAGTTTGTGGCTAAAGTTCAATTCCTTTACTATAAGTTGACGTGAGACAAGAGCATAATGGTCAAAGAAAATTTTGATAAGGAAACCTCGTACCACTGTAATATTCTCTTTTAAAGGGTTACCTACAAAGGATGAAATTTAAGAACGATTCGAAAAAATGTTTTATCTGAAGTTTTTTTAAAGTTTTTGTAGTAACATTGATTTCGAGAGAGAAAGAAAAAAGTTTAAAGCTGTAGACAGCCATGTATGTATGCATAGAAAAAATCATCTCTAAAGCCTCACCATGATTTGGGTAACCGGCCCTGAATAATTATAATTCCAATTACTCAAATCATGGTAAAATAAATAAAAACTTAGCGAAGGGAATGAATTGAAGAAAAATCAAAGAGAAATGCAAATCTTACAAAAAAGAAACCTAGAGATTCGTTCAAACGTTAAGATCACTGGCACTTCAAGACAGCCAATTCTCAACTAATGAAGTTTGATATTAATATAAAAATATATAGATTCATTTTTCTTAAAATTAGATCATTTGTACAGTTAGAAATTAAGAAAGAAAGGAAATAAAATTGAAGATGTTTCCAGATCATTAAAATCAAATTGTTAAATGTTTCAGTTCATCTCCTCTTACTAGCGTAATTCACTCAACCAGCGGGAAAATGGAGCTTAAAGTTAAAATCTATCTTAGTGATAACATATGAAAAAAACGTAAAACCTTGCGGTTGAGGAAACATAATTTGAAATAAAGAATATAATTACAGGAGGTGGAATAAATTCTTAATTAAAGAAAAAAAAGTCGCATTTCTTATTTAGAACTAGAGTCGTAGAGTCCTGATTCATGACCAGCTATATCTCGTATCATTGGAAATGTTCATCAAAAAAATCGAATTATGTATTTTTACCACATTTTATAGATCTATATGTATTTTCCATACCTTGTACCGTCCAACGGTAAGAGGTGCAGTTTTTTGTTTTTGAACGTGAATTTGAAATAACTAGGATTTTGTGACAAAAATGTATACTATAGCAATACTTAAGTGTGTTTGATGTTGTTTCAAAGCATATAGTTATACTTTTAACTTATTAAATCACTAATTTAGTGAACTGGGTCTGTTTACACTGCATAATTGTTGTGTCTCATGCGTTGGCGTTTTGTTACTTTAATTACATGTTATGAAATAATTTGTGGGTTTTGAAATACGTTAGCAATCCCTTTAAGCCAGCTGTGACAATTATCACAAAGATNAATTGTTGTGTCTCATGCGTTGGCGTTTTGTTACTTTAATTACATGTTATGAAATAATTTGTGGGTTTTGAAATACGTTAGCAATCCCTTTAAGCCAGCTGTGACAATTATCACAAAGATGAAATTGTGAAGATGAAACATGACAATTACAAAACTGATGCAGCAGGCCATCTTTTCCTTTTCTATCTATCTATCTATTTATCTATCTTTCTATTTCTCTATCTATCTATCAACACTCTTGATTCAGTTTTCTCCTAGTGTTGTGATAGTGTGGTAAACTGTTATAACTTTCGTTTTATATTTTAATTGTATCCTGTTGAAGAACTGGTCTTGAAAAATTAGGCTATGAACATGATTTAAAATTTTTTTTCTCCTTTTTCCTCGGGAGTCCCAACTAATTTGGAAGATAATAAAATATATTTTCTTTAGAAATGTCGTCTTCTGAAAATGGTTGGTTTAGAAGCTTGGCGGTTTTTTTCGAAGATTCTTCTTTTGGCAGCGTTGTTCAAGGATTTCAAGACGACATTTTTACATTGTCCAGTTATGGAAACGCGACTGATGAAGGTAAAAAAAGAACACTTCGAATAATCTTTTTGTTATTTACACAGCAAAATAAAGAAATTCCAGAAAAGAATTATTTATTTGAAAAAATGAGTATATTACTTTGCTGTCTCTGGAAAAAGTATGTTTAAACATTTTCGCCTTCTAGAAAAAATATTTTGCTCTAAAATGTGTTATCTTCAAGATTAGGCTACTTACTTAATGGCGTTCTCTTTTTGCAAAGATTTAAGAAAAAAAATATATCTTGATTTTATTTATATTTATATTTTCATCTATGAGGTATGTTTGTTAATACGTTTAGCAAATTGCTCAGCCCTGTAATTTTTTCCAAGATCTCTTTTGGAACACATATTGTCCACATCTTTGCGAATTTTTAAAAATACGTTTTGGTTTTCATGGATTTTTTAAAGAATATTTCTCAGCTCAGTGGTTTTTAAGTTTTAAAATTTTTTTTGAAGGGGGGGGGTACTGACTGCAAGATTGCTTTGCAAAGCTCCTATAAACGTAAATTTGACAAACAAACATAACTGTTAATTTAATTTTGTTTAACGACTGTTTAAATATTTTAGGAAGACAGCTTGTAGCTGCTGCTAGCTCAGGGTATGGAGATGATTGCTGTCCTCCAGTAGTTGATCCGTATACTTGGTTAGCTCTTATAGCAGGTAACTATAGAGTAGTAGTAGATCCGTATACTTGGTTAGCTCTTATAGCAGGTAACTATATAGAGTAGTAGTAGATCCGTATACTTGGTTAGCTCTTATAGCAGGTAACTATAGAGTAGTAGTAGATCCGTATACTTGGTTAGCTCTTATAGCAGGTAACTATAGAGTAGTAGTAGATCCATATGCTTGGTTAGCTCTTATAGCAGGTAACTATAGAGTGGTAGTAGATCCGTATACTTGTTTAGCTCTTATAGCAGGTAATAGTAGTAAATCCATATACTTGGTTAGCTCTTATAGCAGGTAACTATAGAGTAGTAGATCCATATACTTTGTTAGCTCTTATAGCAGGTAACTAAAAAGTAGTAGATCCGTATACTTGGTTAGCTCTTATAGCAGGTAACTATAGACTAGTAGTAGATCCGTATACTTGGTTAGCTCTTATAGCAGGTAACTATAGAGTAGTAGATCTGCATAATTGGTCAGCTCTTATAGCAGGTAACTATATAGAGTAGTAGTAGATCGGTATACTTGGTTAGATCTTATAGCAGGTAACTATAGAGTAGTAGTAGATCCGTATACTTGTTTAGCTCTTATAGCAGGTAAATATATAGAGTAGTAGTAGATCCGTATACTTGGTTAGCTCTTATAGCAGGTAAATATATAGAGTAGTAGTAGATCGGTATACTTGGTTAGCTCTTATAGCAGGTAACTATAGAGTAGTAGTAGATCCGTATACTTGGTTAGCTCTTATAGCAGGTAAATATATAGAGTAGTAGTATATCCGTATACTTGGTTAGCTATTATAGGAGGTAACTATAGAGTAGTAGTAGATCCGTATACTTGGTTAGCTCTTATATAATCCATATTAGGATACATATAGTTTATAGAACATTTTATTTTAGTCTCCCATTCCCGGCCTTAATGAAGCATGCTGGCTTAAAGGGACTGTAAGCGTAATTTCTGGTGACCCTCCATGCAAAGATACTCTGATAAAAAATGTGGAAGATAATGTCGTTGTTCTGACTTTAAAAATTATTAGTTCAGATAATTTGCCTCTTCAAAGCTAGAAATGCGGAATTTGATTTATGCAGAGAAAAATAAAAATATCTAGTTTAAAGAAACAAAAAATGGATATATAATTCAAACAATTGATCAGACTAAGCTTTCAAGGAAACCGATGAATTCGGGCATTGCCATCTTTACATGGAGGGTCACTTGAAATTACGCTTACAGTTCCTAAAAAATGAAAATGACTTTTTTTGCAGGAATAGCATTGGCAACGTTTTTCCTTCGGACTGCCATTACAACCAATATTGTTTTTGGCAGTGGCAGGAAAAGAGCTTTAGAGGACAATATTATAGAGGACCTTGCTACACCAGCTTTACAAGGTTTGTCAGCTGTAGATAGTAATAAAACCGTAAACTTCGGTTCATGTTTAGTACCAGGCCGGCTTTTGNCAGTGGCGTACCTAGGGGGCAGTAGTCCTATTGCCCCCCCTGGGAGTTCCAGAGGGGGGCCTGTTAAATTCCCTATTAATAAAAATCATTGAAATGTTTGTGCAAGTAAATCCTAGAAAATTGAAATATAAATGATTTGGTAAATGTGAAAATGGATTAAATTCTACCTAAAGATTTTAAAGAAATTTCGTTCTATAATGAAAATTAATTTTTTTAATGATGCTGTGAATAATGATTTAGCTAACATATCAGCGTAAAATAGCAAATCTGAGAACAGAAAACGTTTTGAATCAAATAGTTTAAGTTTGAAATATCATGGACGGTTCTTTCATGATTGAATTCCGATTCGAAAACCGTACATTTTTTAAATATAATTATAGGGCTAGAGTCCGAAACCATGTCAAGAACCTTAACCAATAGAATTTTTGATTATTTAAAAAAGATCAAAAATGGTTTTAAAAATCTGACATTAATTATCATAAATTTAAGAAACCAACAGACATTTATTTCAAATATATTTATATTACACCAGTCATTGGTAGATCTTGTCTATGAACCAGTCCGAGGATTAAGCTCAATGTATTATGAAATGTCGTCTTTATCCTGAACGATGATTGGCATGAGTGACACGAAGGATGATTTGATGATAAATGCAGAAAAATCGGATGACAAGAGACGTGATGACAAGTCAGGATTCTCTCACCTGAATCAAGGTATTTCTAAAAATAAACCAGACAGGGATTTTTCATCAAAATTTTGTTTTAGTTTAATTAATATCAATCATACATGCTCAAACGTAAATCAAATGCTCCTTAGGTTTTGAAAAAATTTATATTTGTAAATGGGTGAACAGAAAGAATTTCAATAAGTCTTTTAATTGTATCAAGATGTGCATATAAGATTATTTTGAACGTCATTATTCAACAAACGAAAGAAATCTTTAAACTGGTCGTAAATGAATAGACAATGTAATTTCAAGTAAATTTAAAGAGGATATTGAGATACAGTGATAACCAGAAAACAATGGAATAGGAAGACGACATTATATCAATACTTAGCAAATAGTTTGACTGAAAACTAATTTACACTCCCCAAATTCTGTGGCTCATGCTCATTTGACTTTTAAAAATATAAATATATCCTTGTTTAAACATCAGGTATCTTTAAAATATATTCGTTTAGTCCTTTTTAAATTTTAACTTTTTAAAACTTTTTTATAATTCTTTATGAAAATCAATTAAACGTCATAGTATTTATGACAATTAAATTGATAAATTTGCATTGGAAATAATTTGGACTCTTAAAAGGTTTTTAAAAAATCAGAGAAGTTTTACAAAATAAAAACTTGTTTATGATAACATTTGTTTTTCATTTAACTCGTCCAATGTTGACCCCGAGAGAAAAAGTATGCATAAAAGAACCTGAAACGATCCTAAAACGATCGATTTAAACCCATCACTTCCTTGTTAAATGGCACAAATTATTTAGGGGATTCAGAATATTCAAAGAAACCCCATGATATTTCTCCTGTAATGAGGTAAGTTTTATCAATATTAAAATAGGATTTTGTACCGCCTTCGGACCATAACTACCGACCTGATTCCCCCAATAGAAGGACGTGGAAATACAATTAAAAATAGAGAGACGTGGAAATACTTAACGTCAATAGAAGGACGTGGAAATACTTAACGTCAATATAAGGACGTGGAAATACATAACGTCAACAGTAGGACGTGGAAATTCTTAACGTCAATAGAAGGACGTGGAAATACTTAACGTCAATAGAACGGCTCTGAAATACATAACGTCCCTTTGGACAATTAAGTAAAATAACGACCCGCTTTGCTTAACCATGGTGGTTCCCTAGGTCTTGGGAACCCTTGGTAAAGCAAAAATCCCTGAACTGCCTTGAAAAATACGTAGTTGTAAATTATTAAAAAAGATTATCAAAAAGTTCGTTTTTGTCGTTTGGTCAGTTCGGTTTTGAAAACGTTTGTTTTATCAAGAAAAAAATAACGCTTCTGATCTTAACACAAAAATGTTTTTAGTCATACATTTTTGACTTTTTGCTTTATAAACACACTAGCTGGAGTGTATGGGGTTGTCAGTTGAATTTATAACACTTTGGAAAAAAATTTGAATTTGAAAAAGAGATAGAATTTTTGAGCCTATATTACGTTTCCTTACTGAGCGTTTCTTTAATGAATGTTTCTTACAAAAAACGTTTCCTGCCACCAAACATTTCTTGCTACAAAACGTTTCCTGCTACTGCAAAACGTCTCCTACTACGAAACATTTTCTTACAACGTTTTGTATAGGAAACGTTCTGTAAGGAAACGTCCTGTAAGGAAACGTTCTACAAGGAAACGTTCTGCAAGGAATTGCTCTATAAGGAAACTTTTTATAGAAGCATTCTGTTAGGAAACGATCTGTAAGGAAACGTTTTGTATGAGCTTCAATGTTACCCTTGGGTTTCGTACCTTAAAATACAACATATTATTATGATTTAAATTTTTTATGAATACAGCTCTATCCTTGAAAAAAAAAACATTTTTATTTTGTCAATTTGATTCAGTCGTATTTATTTTGGAGCGAGAATGACTCTACGAGGTGGGCTAAAAAAATGAGTTTTTAAAAGTTCTAATTACTTAAGATTAAGTTTGTGTTTTTGAATAATTCTAATAAACATTGAAAACCAGCAAACTATGGAATATAAAGACGATAATTAACCCATCTTTTTTAATAAAAAGCAAATAAAAAGCAAATATTGAGCAAGTAGGTTAAAAACTTATCATTTAACCAAATCGGTGTGAGTATACTGCACACTTATGCTGTGTATCATGTACATTGGACTATTCGAAATCATAACTGAGTCTAAAAGTCGTCTTTCTCTTCCATAGCGTTCCAGTTCTCACTGAATGTATATTCAAAAGGATGATTCCACCCGGTTCTGTAAATCCTGGTTTTCTGTTGAAGCAGAACCTGAGACCAGGGAGACCAGGGAGACCTGGGAGACCAGGGAGAACCTTGGTATCTCAGGGTATACCCAGAGCAGGCAGCACACAAACCTTGCCTCAGAGTTTCAAGAGTCAGGTACAATTTTCAAACCATATCAGAGCTTGTTCAAATGGGATTGGGACTGATTTCGAGATCTGCAGTGAGGCTAAATGTTGCAATCTATCACACAAATGCTTTGTCGTTCTAAAAGTGCTCATGTTTAGGGCTATAAAAAAGTATATGTAAGTTAGAGCAGAGGTAAAATCAAAAGCCAACGCGTTGTGATACATTAAATTCGACCCATTCTTGAAAATGTATGCAACTTTTCTTAGCAGTCCAAATATATGTTATAGCTTCTCAAACCTTTAAATATAGGTTAACGAACCTCATAGAGAAAGTGCTTATCTCGACACTATTGAGTTATCTATGCCCAGAAAACAAATTTAAGAATATTCCCAAGAAATTCTGAAGAACCAGGGACCAGAGAGTAGAGACCGAATTCGAAGAATTTGAGACGCTGTTTAAACATGAGACGCGTTTTTAACATGGTTGGTTCCACTTAAAATTATAATAAGTGTTTCCAGATTGGAGCCGGCGCTCAATTTGAACCGGTTTATGGCGGTTCAGTGACGCAGTTATAATTATTTAAATTCGACCTCAGATTTAATAAAAAAGTGAGAAATATAGTTGGTAATTTTTGTTGGATACTCATAATTATGATCTCACCTTTAACTTGAGGATCAATGCTTCATCTCAGTTATTCCTCCACAGTACAATTATCATGCTGGAGGGAGGGAAGGCATCCTCCCCCGCACAGTTTCCGAACCTCATTTTACCTATTTACGGCAATGTGTGTCCCCAGAGGGCTTCCGACCCTCTCCCAAACAGTCTTCCGGGAATGATCTGTTTATAATTTCAAAATTTCTACTTAAAACAGGTTTAATTCGATTATTTAATAATCCATCTATAGTATCCAGTATCTTTAACATTTTCATATTTTTTTGAAATTTTTAACAAAAGGTTGCCTTCCCTCCCTTACCATGCAGAATATCACTTAAAGATTAAATTGATCTGCAGATTAACACAAGATCGACACCAAGCGAGAAATAGAAATATTACCACTTACCAATTAAAAGCGAGGTTAATTCTAATTCATCATTTATCATGAATATGTTTACTCTCAGGATAATGACGATTACTATGACGAAGACGATTATTCTGATTATGAAGATCTGAATGCTGCGTACCACGGAAATATTAGTGGAGCGGCGTCAAGAACTTTCCAGAGAATCTCAGAGAGAAATAGAGGTACAATCTTCACAATAATATGTTGTAGGGTGAGGGGGGGGAATTTGTTGTAGGGGGGGGGATGTGGGGAGAATTGGGCTATTCAAAATCATAACTTGAGTCTAACACTTATATAGGCCTCCTTAAGTGAAGAAACCTTTTTGATTCAATAAAATGTTCAATAAAATTTTAAATTTGACACCACCGAAGACAAAAAGTCCAACTGTTTTGCCGTAACTGTGATTCATCATTAAATAATGAAATTGATAAATATAAAAATATTGTACTATATAGGAAATTCAATAGAGGTGTATATGCTGTGCATAAAACTATCTGCACTGGGTACACTTTGTCCTTGTGTGCTGGAAAATACTTGTACTGTGTCCGAATTAGATGAATTCATGCCGAGTCTCAAATCCCTTAAAAACCGGTTTCACTTGAGCGCCGGCTTAAATTTTGAAAAATTGAATACAATTTTAAGTGAAACCAACCATATTGGAGCTCAAATTCTAGAAATTCTGCCTCAGGTTTGGATCATGCAACAATTAGATGTGTGTACAATAAGTAGTATTACTTAATGAATCAGGGAATTTTACCATTAAAAAGTTCAATCCCTTTAGCAATGCATGTACCCCTGCACCTATTTGCCTCAAATTTTGATTGGGAATTTGGGAGAACTACGGCAGTGTTCTTAGTTTGGTTTAGAGATTCCAAGCGAATTGAAAATAGCTAAACTCATAATTTAAGACCAAGAGCGGGTAAACGGCGGGAGTAACTGTGAGCACCCTGGGCAACGTTGGGTTCCCAAAGTAGTAACAAAATAATGTCTGAAAATCAAACATATCTGATATATTTTCAGGACCTGGGAGGAAACTAGACAGTATAGACAGGCATTATTATTAAACCAACAAATAAAATTTATCCACTTGCCATTGCCAAAAATGTTTTAATAAACATTTATAACTTTAAAAAATAACTAATTTAATAAAAATGGAACTCAGATTTGATTCTGGTCTTGCACTTGGTGAAACGGACGGAGAAGATCTGCATGGAGAGGCAGCTGGAGGCTTTTACGGAGGGGGAGGTTTTATCAATAGAGGAATATTTGGAGGAGGCCAAGGGAGATTTGGAGGCCGAGTTGGAGGTTACGGAGGCGCTGGAGGATTCGGAGGTTTTGGAGTTGGAGGAGGAGGCTATGGAGGAGGAAAGGGAGGCTATGAAGGGGGATTAGTAGGTTATGGAGGCTCTGGTGGAGGGGGAATCGGAGGATACGGTGGAGGAGGAATCGGAGGCTATGGAGGTGAATTAGAAGGTTATGGAGGCTCAGGTGGAGGGGGAATCGGAGGTTACGGTGGAGGAGGAATCGGAGGCTATGGAGGTGGAGGAGGAATGTATGATATTGGAAATGAAGGACAATCTTATGGGTTTGGAGATCTAGACAGACAATCTCAGCTAATTATACTCAGGTTTTCTTTTCAAACTTAAATTAAACTGGAGAATCTGTTTGATGTGTAGATTCATGTTTTGTAAACCTACTAATAATGGAATGCTGCAGTTATTTAGATTTTTAATTAATTAATATATATGAAGCTTTTTATTACTGTTCCCTCATATTTCATGGCTATTTTTTCATTTTCACAATTACTGACATTCATACAGTGAAACCCTTCATAATGAATACATCGGAAGAATTTATCAAATGTCGTCTTGACAATGTTTCAATAAGTTTTATACTATATTACGTAAATTTCAGTATTTGCGAAAATAAATAAATAACCATGAATATGCGGGAACAGTTTTAAAGAGTTTCATATAATCATTTAATTAAAATTTAATTAAATTTAATAAAATTAAGGGTTTCACTGTACTTAGTTTTATTCTTACCTTTATATTTAGTTTTATTCTTACCTTCATACTTAGTTTTATTCTTACCTTTATATTTAGTTTTATTCTGATCTTTATACTTAGTTTTATTCTTACCTTTATATTTAGTTTTATTCTTATCTTTATACTTAGTTTTATTCTTAGCTTCACAAATTAGTTTTATTCTTAGCTTCATTTTTAGTTTTATTCTTAGCTTCATACTTAGTTTTATTCTTAGCTTCATATTTGGTTTCATTATTAACTTCATACTTAGTTTTATTCTTAGCTTCATACTTAGTTATATTCTTAGCTTTATACTTATTTTATTCTTAGCTTTATACTTATTTTTTTGTATTAGCACTTAAATAAATACATTTTAAAAAATCTTTAACATTGAATATTCGTTTTTGTTTAAATAAATTGGAATGTGTTTAGATGCATTTAAAATCTTCCAAGATCTTAAACACTCTCAACATAATTTCTTCTTCTAATCGACATATCATTGCAACCTGATGTTGTAGATATTTGAAATTTTATAATATAAATTATAATTCAGCCAAATACAATAGGCAAAGGTTTAAACAATCAGGTTGCAAACACTAAATTTTCTTAGGGAGATTTCACTTTCTTTAAAAATAATCTAAATGAATTAAATTTTACAGATTTTAATTTTTGTTGATTTCAGGCCCCCTCCCAAGCGCAATACAAATGGTGGTTCTATTCTTGGCCTGATAGATATAGATTATGAAAGTTTTGTTTTACTTCTGGGATTGGCAGGAGCAGCTGCTGCTTATGTTTTATATCAGGTAGCAGTCGTTTACATTAGTTTTAAATTTGCATGATCCAAACCGGAACGAAGATTGCCTTGTAGTGTTTACTTGTACCATCCCGTCTAGTGTACCCGGTATGTGGTTGGCCATGTGGTTGACACAGAGCGTTTTTTGCAACAGAATTAGGCGGGTGGAACTTTAGTGTAGTATATTTAACCTTGAAAAAGATGATGGTGAGGGAGGAAACACCCTGTTCCAAGGGTTCTAACTCTCCTCCACAAGAGGATAATCTCAACTTTAATGAGTTTACTAAGCGAACCTGGAGAGAGCAGAAACCTGTTGTTCCAGTTCTAGTTGATCTGCACCACCAATATGAAGTTATACATTACCAACATGAAGTTGCTGCTGATGTCTGTCTTTTTCCTTTATTAATTTCTAAACCAACCAATTTTAATGCCACTTGGGAAACTGTTTCAAAACTTTCGTTTTATTAAATAAATGTTAGAAATATCCATGTAGATCTCCTTTTATTTTATCATATTGACTTTTAACGTCAACAACTGTATATCTTTATGGGTTTCTTTTTGAAATGAAACTTTAAAATCTTTGAAACTTCTGAATTGTCACATCTAAGCGAATTTATTTTTAAAAAAAATGTTTTGCCATTAAGTTGGGAAAGCTTCTTTCATAAACTACTTAAAATATTTAAAGGGACTGTAAGCGTAAATTCCTAGTGACCCTCCATGTGAAGAGGGCAATGTCCAAAATTACAACCTGAGTTTCTCCGTCAGTTTCTCTGTTGCTTCTTATAGACAAGGAATGCGCAAGTCAAACCTTGAAGAAAAAACCGCAAATAAAAATGAACGGTTAAAAGAAACCAACATATTTTTATCTCATTAATACTTGATCCGAAAAAGCTTTCAAGGTTACAGTTGTAAATCGGGCATTGCCATCCTGGCATTGAGGGTCACTTGAAATGACGATTACAGTCCCTTTAAGCAAAACTTTCTAAAAAGAAGAAGAATAGTTAAAACAATCTTTTGTGTATTTTATATAGTTAAAAAGTAAATAGTTTCACCTGAAATCTAATAATTCTAATTTTTTTTAGCAAATTCTGACGAAAGGCAAGAAACGAAGTTTTCCAGACCGTGAGTTGAGAACAGAAGAAGGATACAGTCAGGGTACTTTGTACACAAACATTGATCAACTTGCGGATTTCGTCCTTGTGGGTAGGTAGATTTCAGATTCAATTCTACAACATCATTCTTCAGGATAAAGACGACATTAAATTAACAGCTTCTTATATATTTGGTTGGTTTGTAAAATCAGTAGAACGTATGAACCGATCAGGCTAAACAGTATGTGGGAACTGGCATGGCCCCATAAAGATTAAGTGAGAGTTTAAAGTTGTTCTTCAACAAAATAGATTTAAAATTCTCAACTTTTCTAGTACGTCAGCTTTACAATCTGATGCCATAAACCTTTCATATTTTAAACAGTTTTTCTCTAACAGAATTCATTGTTTGAAATATCTAATAAATGCAACATTGGGTTGCTTAGATATAGAGATAAGAAAATCAGAGTTTGTGGCGAAGACTCAATTCCTTTAAAATTTATTTTCTAATAACATTTGAAAAGAAAACCTGCGAGATAAAATGAACAATATAATGAACAATATAGGATAAAGAAATAAAAACACAAACAATAACAATAATAATATAAATAATAATCACAATAAACAATAACAATAAAGCTGCTACGTTAAATTAAAAGGAAGTGTATTTCATAAACTAAATGACTTTCATCTAGAGTTTTAATCCTTTTAAAGTTTGGTTGATTTAAAGATTTATTTCTGGATTAAAATTAGATTTGGAAGATTTTCTTCTTAATTTAAAAGACCCATCATTTTAAGATGGCCACCAACGAAACTTATTATCAATGACATTTCAGTGTTTTTTCAAACATTTTTGATGTATGAAAATGTTAGCAAAATCCAAGGGGTTAACATAAATTTTTTTTTTTTATAAACTCTGGGCTTTCTGATCATCTGACGTATTTCTAAGAAAAATGAAGATTAAAAAATGTGGTCCTTATGGATAACCTGGGGGAATTGTTGCAAATCGTTTTTAAAAACGATCGAAAAAAATTATCACTTTTTGTTTCGTTTTTATTTTTTTTTCTAAAAACGATAGTTTCGTTTTTGGAAAAAAACTATTATTTTTGAAGGAAAAAAATCGTTTTGAACCTTAGAAAAACAAAAACAGGATCATGTTAACAAAAGCAGGATCGTTTTAGAAAACGATCTTTTTTAAAAAGACGAAAAATTATATTGTTTGAAAGCGAACGTTTTTTAAAACCGATCTTTTTTGCTAATGAATCGGAATTTTCTGACATGCAAATTATTTCAATTTTTTCAGGAAAATAAGGTTATGAATGTGTCTTAAAGGATTTTTAACGAGACAAATTACGTAAATGTTTTCTGATCTCGGATTTTCCGACCATAAATTGTATTTTCTCTATAAAATGTTGTTAGGGATCGTTACGGGTCGTCGTTAACGGTCGTTAACAAAAACGATTGTTTTTAAAATCTATCGTGTTTAGAAAGGATGAACGCTAGTTTTTGAAAACGATTGTTATTTTAACTATTTTGTTTCTTTAAAAACGAAAAACGATTGTTTTTGAAAACGATCTTTTTAAAAAACAATACTTTAACAAAAGCTAGTTTTTAAAAACTATCCTTTTCAAAAAAATGTGGAAACGATCTATCCCTACTTACGGCGAACTAAAGTAAAATATACGTATGATTGAAATGTTATCTGTGTTCAATCATAACTTCTCTTATTAAAGTTAGCAATGGAGAAGAACAAATATGTTTGAATTTGCGTATCTCATACTTGTGCGTAAAATTAAGATTCGAGGAGCCACGAGGTTACAAAGTCGTACCAATAATCTTTTCAGTGCATTTAAAAAAGAGACAATTATAGATGTTATTTTTCAACTTTACTTTAGAATCCATTTGCAACCATGAAAGATTATTTTACATTTATTATTCTGTGTGTGTTGGGGTATATGTGTACACAACTGGATTAGATAAATCCAATTCTGTTTTGCTTTTATAGATTTTGTTTTGCTTTTAAAGATTCTGTTTTATTTTTATAGATTTTGTTTTGCTTTTATAGATTTTCTTTTGCTTTAATAGATTTTGTTTTGCTTTTATAGATTTAGTTTTGCTTTTATAGATTTTGTTTTGCTTTTATAGATTTTGTTTTGCTTTTAAAGATTCTGTTTTGCTTTTATAGATTTTGTTTTGCTTTTAAAGATTCTGTTTTGGTTTTTTAGATTTTGTTTTGCTTTTATAGATTTTGTTTTGCTTTTATAGATTTTGTTTTGCTTGATCAAAGTCTGACAGAGTTTATTCTATAAATCCAGAATGTTTTATACCTCTAGTTGATCTCACCTGGTTTAAATCTGGGTGAATTAGGATAATGACTGTCAAGTATATAAGCCTGCGTCAGATCACGTCTATATTGCAGTTTAATCCTAAAGGATGATTTGTTGGGATTTAGATTTCCCATCTTCAGTATTCCAGTGTAGTTTTATAAGTACGGAGTAAAATAGGAATCTAAGCATCGTTTTCTCTTTTCACGTCCTGTTCATTTCTATCCTGTTCCTTTCCGTCTTGTTCCTTTCCGTACTGTTCCTTTCCGTCTTGTTCCTTTCCGTACTGTTCCTTTCCGTCCTGTTCCTTTCCGTCCTGTTCATTTCCGTTCTGTTCCTTTCCGTCCTGTTCCTTTCCGTCCTGTTCCTTTCCGTCCTGTTCCTTTCCGTCCTGTTACTTTCCGTCCTGTTCCTTTTCGTCTTGTTCCTTTCCATCCTGTTCATTTTAGTCATGATGTTCCTTTCCGTCCTGTTCATTTCCTTCCTGGTCCTTTCCGTCCTGTTCATTTCCGTCCTGTTCCTTTCCGTCCTGTTCCTTTCCGTCTTGTTCCTTTCCATCCTGTTCATTTTAGTCATGATGTTCCTTTCCGTACCGTTCATTTCCGTCCTGTTCATTTCCGTCCTGTTCCTTTCCGTCCTGTTCATTTCCGTGCTGTTCCTTTCCGTCCTGTTCATTTCCGTGCTGTTCCTTTCCGTCCCCGTTAATTTCCGTCCTGTTCCTTTCCGTCCTGTTCCTTTCCTTCCTGTGCATTTCCGTCCTGTTCCTTTTCATAATTTTCCTTTCCGTCCTCTTCCGTTCCATCCTTTCCTTTCCGTCCTTTGTTTTTTAGTTCTTTCCTGTCCGTCCATTTACTTTCCTTCGATTTTCTTTTCGTCCTTTAATCCTTCACGTCCTTTTCCTGTCCGACCTTTTCCTTTCGGTCTTTTTTCTTTCCGTCCTTTTCCTTTTCGTAATTTACCTTTCCGTACTTTTCCATTTTGACCTTTTTCTTTCTGTTTCTCTTCTTATTCAACTTCTTTTACGTTTAAATTCTTAGTGATATGTTTAATACAATTCTAGTTAATCCTCTAACTTTTTCTAGATATTTTTTTCTATCTTATTCTTAGCCTTTATCATTATTTATCTTTCTCCCAAATTCGTGTATCCTGTTTCTCGTATTTTAGTTGTCCTACTTTTACATCTTTATTTTATCCATTGTAAGTTTTATGAATTAATTTGTATGATCCATACTTTTATCCATATCCTAAGATCAGTTACAAATCGTGTAGGCATAAAATGTAATATGTATATATCCTCTCCTAAGATATACCAGTTTAAGAAAAAGTTTTGTTTAATGTTCAATGGTAATACATTTTCAGAGCTAATTATGAAAACTACATGAAACTAATCTGTTTTCCTCTTTCTAACGTGTATTTTCTGCCCCTCAATACTTATTTGGAAACATTAAGAGTGCACCCTTCTTTCCAAATATGAAAAATAAAAAAATGGGCAGAAAAATGTCTACCAGAAAAAGAAATTTTTTACCTATTGTTGTTCTTGACAGTTCACCAAATCAGCCCAAGTTAGATTCACCAGGAGCTGACAAACGTTCATCATTATTTTCATTAAATGATATGAGTTTTGGTCTGTTAGGAAGTCCATCAGTAGAAAGGTTAATGGCCAGTACATTCATAATATCAAAATAAATCTTTAAAGGTACTGTACACGTAATTAGGATAACTAGGATTTTTAGCGAACGAACACTTTGGCGAAAAAAAAACAAGTAAATACGAAAATTTTCATTCATATTTCGCGAAAATAATTTGCGAGAAAAAAAATCCGCAAAAACCATGAGTGTTTCGTTGTAGCTGCAACAATGGTTTTTGCAAAAATCTGGAATTCTCTGCTCTGAGAGCTCAGCATCAGAAATTTATATTATATCATAATTAATAATTTCTCTTCCTTTACTTTAATAAATGTTTAATAAATTCACGCATTACAAAAACAAATTTCGCGAAAAATGCAAAATTTTCGCGAAACAATTTCCCTCTTTCGCTGGAAACCCTACTAAATCTTTCTTTGATGAAGGATTTTGTAGAATTTTCTTAATATTATAGCGGGAAAGCAAATGCCAAGAGTGTCCCGGCACTCAATCTTCAGCTATGCAAGTGAAGATATCTGCCTCATCGTTTTCCAAACAAAGATTCAGAGGGTACTTGTGAATCGGAAATGGCTCTTTTAGTTGAAAGGTCACTTGAAATTACGCTGTAAGTTCCTTTGAGTTAGGGCTGGGCAAAGTTCCGTTTGGTCCCAGCTGGTAAAATTTGCCTTTTAGTTTTTATTGTTTTAGATAAAAATAACCGCATACATAAATCTAAAGATGGGCATCGCTTTTTTTGATAAACAAAAAATGTTCGTTAAAAATGGTGTCGTTCAGAAAGAAACGAACGATGGACAAAAGAAATGAATCGTTTAGAGTAATGAAAAATTATCTTTGACAAACGATAACAAACCAAAAAGAAAGATTTAAAATCGTTCGAATGAACTTGAAAAAAAAGATAGTTTTTTACTGTTTTTTTTTAACAAAATTTTTAAAAACAATAGTGTTTTACAAAACCCGGGAACAAGGAACCTGTGGTTAATACAAATGTTTACATTCCTGAAAAATTAGTTGTACTCAATTGTATCGTCTAACGAGATGAAAATGCGCGAATTTTTCCCTGAAATCTTCGCAAAGTAGGTGTTTATTTAACATAACTATCCCAAGGGACGTTAAGTAACGTTACCTCCCTTTGTTGGGGGAATCACAGG